GATTTATTTATTTATGCATACAGAAGTAGGGTACAGGCTAGAGGCACAGGTGTGGTGAGAAGATTCACCAGACAGAGTGAGGAGCAGAACAGGCAGATCAATGAAGTATACTGCCTAGAGGAGCAGTTGGCAGGTCAGGAGAGGTCTGCCTTGCCATGTGGACCACCTCCTGGGTGGGGATTGAACTCATGCTGAAGTGGCTTTAGCTTCTTAGTGCTGTGCTTTAACCTGCTGCTCCACCAGGGAAGGCCTGATAATTTCTCTTTTTAAAAATTAGAAAGCTTTCCCTTTTAGTCTTTATCTAATCAATTACTACATCATCACAACTACGTAAGGTAATATTATGCTGTTTCTCCTCACTACTAATCAACTTACATGTTGTTTTGATGAATGTGTGTATGTATATGTGTGTGTAGAGCTGTCCTTAACTGCTAAATAATTTGCTCAACAATTCACCAATTCTTGGACATTTAGAATTTTTTTCTATTATCCCAAAATCATTCTTATCTTCTGCTTTTCTTGGATTATTACATAAGTATAATCTTCCTAGTAGTGAATTACTGAAACATTTGCCCATAACAGATAACATCAAATTATATTCCTAAAGTTCTATTGGCATTCTAGCTAAAAATAATCCAATAATCCATCTTCTAATTTGTATATCCTTTGTCATTGTGAGGTGAATAATTTCCCATGTTTCCTTAATATCTGGTACTTGCTCATTAACAGGCTATCTTTTGTTTATAGTTTCTGAATGAGTTCTACTATCTATTATACGTTAGAATGCTTTCCCCTTCTGTTAATTTTTCAGAATTTCTATTAATTACTTTTAAAATTTAAATTTTAGCTCAATTTATATCTTCTTTCAAAATATTAAAATTTCCTTTTATAAACACTCTCAAATATTTTTTCCTCAGGGATAGTATACTTTAAATTGCAAACAATAATTATACTAAGCATTGATTCCTCTCATTATCCATAGACAAAGGGAAACAATATCCAATGAGAGTAGAAAAAAAAATCTCATTCACATGCAATAATTTGTGTATAATTTCATTCAGGACAAAACAGAAAACAAATTCAACTGATGGAAGATGAAATGTAAAGACTAAAGAAAAAAAGCTGTTTTTTTAAATAACTGTTACAACTTAGTATGACTGTTGAGGAAAATTTGTTTTATGGAGAAGCTTCAGATAGTGTGGGCAATTTATAGCTATGTTGTTTTAGGAATAGCAATACAAGAAAGCAGGTTTTAGATAAGATTATCTCTAAGTCCTTTATAATACACATAAAAATAAATTGGAAATCTCAAGTTATCTGTGTTTCACTGTCCTCAAAGACTAGATTAATAAATGCATAATTGTAAATAGTGAGAACACCTCATTGGATGAAGATCAAACATAGGTGGTTGAAGTTCTCCAAGTTCAATTGCTGTTATTCCTACAGCCCAGATATCACAGAGTTGGTTGTATCCACCATTCTTCTCTACTGCTGCAACTTCTGGGGCCATCCTAGAAGGAAACAGTGAATATAACATTTTTATTATCTAAAAATAATATGAACTCCACATTTTGTTACATTTAGTAGACTTCTTAAAGGAAAAGAAGTTGAGAAGGATTTACTAGAAAAGAAGAAAATTATACTAGGAAAGATGCCAAAGAACAAACATAAACACTTTTAATATTATTTAAAAATCTTGTATCCTCTCCTTTGAATGCTGATGATTTGAGGGAAACATCATTTCACGTTAGGTTATGTTTGTGAATCTTTCATAACATAGGAAAAAAAAACCCACCTAAATCTAACAGAAAGTTCTCAAAATAAGTAAGACTTAAAGAAAACACTGCCAGAGAGTTAAAAAGAATGAAGAGCCTGGACATTTTGGTCAAAGGATACAAGTGCAAGTGCAGTGACAGGGAGAGAATATGGAACACACCTGGAGAGTTGACATAACACTCATACTTAAATATATACTCTACAGATTGATATGGGGTTATAAATTGCTTGTTACCGGTCTATGAAATACACAGTAACTGAAAATAAACAGTAACTTTCTGCCAAATACATGGTCATTTTCAGTAATTCATTTTTAATTTATTTTATAGAAGTATCAATCTGTGATGGACAGAAAGTGAAAAAAATTGATCCTTTATTACAGATAGTCAGAGAAGGTCTATAAAGTGTTTGGAAAATGAACTTCAGAAGTAGAGCCTAGATAATGAAAGGAAACTCACTGAAAGATTTCATTATAGGTGTAAACTTAGCCTAACACTTATGAGAACATGAAGGATAGTGAAACCTGTTAGTCAGGTAAGATAGATAAAACTAGATGAAGGGAAAAAGGACTTTTGATAAAGTGTTTTTTAAAGATAAAGGACTTTTGGAGGCAGTGGGGGAGGATTTGAATGAAAGAAACTGATTAAAGAGATTGATCTGAGTATGAAATACTTGCACATATTAAAGTAGAGCTATTGTCAAATTGTTTGTTTCTTAATGTTTACTATTTTATAATTAATTTATATTTATATGGAGTGTTTACAAGATAGAAGTTGCTTTTGCATGCACTCCATGTTACAAAGAGTTATATAACACAATATACCCTACAACTTGAATGTGGTTAAAGACATAAAAGCCAACATGTAGATAGATGTATATGTTGTATGCAAGTACTATATAAATGAGTATAAGATTACAGAGAAGAAAATGATCTCCATGGAGAACCCAGAGAAAGATGAATGAAGACAAGTTTCATGGAGAAAATAAATTAAGTTGAAGCCCAGAGGAAGCACATGGGTCTCATCTCTGTCTACTGGAATCAGTTAGTGGTAGCTAACAAGAGTGCCAAGTTGACCAAGACTGTTACATATACTGACTCAATGGAAAACAAAGCTATGATCAAAAAATGCAAACTATGTGCCACTCTTAAAAAAGGGTAGGACTTAAGATAAACACAATTAACAGTATTTGGTAGAATGAGAGTACAAAAATTCACAAAGCTGACTAGAGAAATATTTGCAAGAGAGGACAGTCACAGAAAAAGACCAAGGAAGGAAATACGCACACAATGAAAGAAACTCTATATGTAATAGAACTCACTTTTTTTTTAACTTTTATTTAAATGATATTTATTGGGACTTTTGTTAAAAGTGCTATGTAATTAAGAACGGAAAGCATAAAATACCTAGAAGCAAAGATGGGTCAAACACTACATGACATACACTTCAGCGACATCTTTAAAGACAGAGCACCCAACGCCACAATAGTGAAGGCAAAGATAAATAGATGGGACTAC